GGCATTGGGGCCCTGCACGAAGGCCACCGCACTGTTCCAGCTGTTGGCATTCACCGTCTGGATTATGAGGCGGCCCTTCTCGCATCGCTGCTGCTCGTTACCCGCCCGACCCCTCTGCCGCCGCGCGACGACGCTGCGCCAGCTGCGAGGCCGCCTCGCACTCAGCCTCCTCTGCCGCCCGCCCCCCCGCCAGTGGCTGCCAGGGCATGGCGGCGCCCTCGGCTGCGAGCTCTTCACTCGCACCTGCTCGCCTGGCGGCTGCATGTGCCTCTGCTTCTACACTTTTTCGGTCGCGTCCGCTAGCGAAAGCGCAGGCGGAGACAGAAGCTGTCCGGGGCGCGGAAACAGTCCTAATTAGCTGCTAGGCGCGAAGCAGGCCGGCCAGGCCAGCTCACAAGGCAGCAGCTGAGCCGCATGGCGAGGGCTGACTGGCTGAAGGCACCCAGGGAAGCTCGGGCAACGTGCAGTCCTGACAAAATACCAGGGAATTCGAAGTACGCCCTGCGGCGTGAACCACACAGTGAACGCGAGAACGTAAGCGAGCTGATGCCCACACCCCTCACACGCCTGGTGGTCGCAAAGGCGAGGTGAACGATGAACGAGTCGCCAGCGGGGCGCCAAGTCCAGGCCCGTACCAACGGTGTATATAAGCCAGGTGGGCTAAGCAACCGAGGTGACGTCGTAGACCTGCCTGAATGGCTGGGACGGATCCAGGGGAAGCGCGGCGTGAAACGGAAGGCTGAACCACTCCGAAGCGACCGCGGGGCTCCCGGGGCCCACCATCCCGAGCACGTGGGGCGCCGGCCCTGTGGCGAACCCTGAGGGCCTGGCCCAGTCACCCGCTGTCAAAACGTGGTGAGCGTCGCACTGAGTGTGACAGGCCAGGCTGGCGGGGATGAACATCGCCAGCGTGGCAGAAGAGTCCAGGGAGGAGCCGCACAGAGGACGATCACCCCCGTTGATCCGGGGGCACGTAAACCCGGCAGCCCGCCCTGCCCGTGAGGGATCTGAGGGGAGGGGCGGTGGGGACAGACATCACCGGCCACCCACGCGGAGGGACACACCAGGGGCACCTGGCGACGGAGGGGGACAGAGGGAGGGCCAAAGCCCGGGCCCGAACTCCAGGGATGCAGCTAACGGCTGCTCAGGGTTCGGTAGAAGACGGAACGTCCACGGAGGGGGCGATTAGAGGGCAAAGCATCCCCAGGGTAGGCGCAGCCTGCAATGGGTCTGTTGCAACCGGTACCGTCGGCCCGCCAGCATTGCAGGTCGCGAGGCGCCTGCCAGCGCGCCGGGGATACCAGGGGTGCAGCTAACGGCTGCTCAGAGATGAGATGGTCCAGGGGGGCAGTACCTGCCGCAGCGAGAGCGGGCAGCCTCCCAATGGCTGCCTCGCCTCTCCGTCTCAGAGTGCACGACTGCAACGACACGGAGCTGACTTCTCTTGCTACGCGGCCGCCCTGTCCCAGGGGCAGACTGATCCAACCCTGCGCCTGTGGCGCGCCAAAACTGAGACCCGCACTGGGCCTTACCCGTGCATGCATCCTGTCAGGAGGGAGGGGTAGCTGGGACGGCTCCGCTCCTGTCCGGGGTGCCGCGGGGGCCGTCTGCCATCTCAGGGTAGCCGTTTCCGGGGTGGCTACAGACGTGAGCCAGTCGTGACTCAGGCTGCTTCTACACGCGCAGCCCCACCTTCTTCCCCTGTCGGCGGCGGCGGCCCAGGTGGGGGCGGAAGCCCACCTTCTGCCTTCACGGCCGAGGAGTAGGCCGTCATGTGATCATTCAGGGCCTGCCCCAAAGCTGGGTCAAAATTCATGCTCAGGCAGCGCAGGCCGGTCAGATACCATCGGAGACTGGCAGGACCGCTCATGCCAGACACTGCTGCCATCAACGCGCCCTTGCCGCCGTGTCTGAAATTTACGCATGGAATTGGAAGCCCAGGTGGCACCACGGCCTGATAGGGATATGCCGATGTACCTCCTGAAACATTGACGCGCAACATAGAGTCAACTTTCGATTAAAGTTCGTCTCGGAGCTTGAATGCAGCATCCAGGTCGGCCCTCTCCAACGCGGCCTGCACCTCTAAGTCCGCCAGCGCGCCCTCCTGCTTCGTAACGTATTGTCTCTGCACCTCGAGCTGCTTCTGAATATGGGAGGATTTGGCAAAGTGTGCCTGGAATCGCTGGACCTCGCTATTGCTGGAGTCTCGCCTCTGGCAAAGGTTGGCCACGACGACCTACACGGCATCGGTTGCCTCCTCCGCCTGCTCCGTCTCGTACGCGGACTCGCTCTTCTCAGTGACGGCCTTCAGCAGGACAAAAGAGTGTTGGAACTGCGTGACTTGCGGTCCCAGCGGCTTGTCCTTTTCCTTGTGCTGATCCTTGTTAACATGTTGACTGATTGGCGGCTGCTGAAAAACTGCTGTGATTTCCCAATACACTGCCAGCACCACTGGTGTCTCGTATTAACATTCGCCACGAGAAGCCGGCTGCAAGCTGACTGGCTGCTGCTGTTGCTGCGCCACGGGCGGCAGGCGGGCCGTTGCTCTAGGGAACTACCTTGCCTTTGCCGCCCTTGGCCTTGCCGTTGCCCTTGCCGTCGCCACGACCTTCTCCCATCACAGAAAGGGCGAGGTACGGTATCCTGTCCACGGTCCTGCTGTGGCCCAGGTCGGAAGGGTGGACAGGCCTGCACAAAAACAGCACCGCGTCACCTTGGGCCCTGACCCCCTAGGGGAAACGGCTGGAGCCAAGGCTGCGGACCCCTCCTCATCCTCCTCCTCCTCGTCCTGTCCCTCCTCCCCCTCCTGTCCCTCCCCCTCCTCCTCCTCCTCCTCCTCCTCCTCCTCCTCCTCCTCCTCCTCCTCCTCCTCCTCCTCCTCCTTCTCCTCCTCCTCCCTGAATCAGGATGTTTGTTGGCTTCGACCTGGGACTGGGGTGTTTCCTGGAGATACTGGGGCTACGCTTTCATTCGTTCGGTCGTTCTACCAGCCCGTCATGCAGAATATAGCAGATAAATTTGTACTCACGGATGGCACGTCGCTGTCGAGGCACGCTTGCCCTGGGACGAGCACAGCGCTGACATCAGGCAAGTGGCTACCACGGGCTTCGCAGATGGCGTTGCGAACAAGGCGATGGAAATCCGAGAGAGGGAAGCACTGCAACAGCTAGCAGCGGGATGCGAAGCAGGAAATGAAGCCATGCCGAGCGGGATGAGGGAGCTGGGAGCCTCGCGGAACATCGCCAAACCAGAAAACATGGCGTCTCTGGCAGGACGGGCCGCACACGACATAACACGTCCTCTCCTCCATCGAGGCGACAGCACGGCCATTGCAGGAGCTTGTCGGCATCATGTCCGCTATCCTGGAGGCCACTTCTCCTCTGCGTTCTCACCGGCCCCAGAAGTGGGCAAGCGGCCAGTCTCGCTCCGCGTTAGCTGCTACACCATGGGCAGTTTCTGGTTCTCGTCCGCGCCTTGGAGGCGCAGGGTGAATATCATCAAAGGGCTACTTATCAACAGCGCTCTGTCTGGGATGAAAGTCTGGGCTATATCTAAGGGGCCTCTTACGCCTCGAAGTATTCAGATCCTGGAGACCTTCATCGTACATAGGTGCAGGGCCATTATGGGGGGGCACATGCTCTTGGGAAACGGGGCATGCAAAGACTCTCACCTCCCAGCAGGTCCTCAAGAAGTTTGGAGTGGGGCCCCTCTCTCTGGAGCGAAGGCTACGCAGACTTAGGTGGTATCAGGAGCTCAGCAAGGCCAAAGAGTTCCATGGGCAGCTTTGGGCGGCTATGCTAGGCTCTATTGCAAACAGCCGCCTGGAGTATGTACTAGTTGGTCAAGCTCTCTGCGAAGATGTTCGCAAGATCGCTGTCAGCGAGCTGCGGGCGCAGGTGTTGTTCTCTCCTGCCATCAGCGCAGCTCCTCAGGCCGATGGAGTCGAAGGAGATTTTGCCTGTCGAGGGTATCTGGACGACGGTACTCAATGCTGTACCCGATGGCCCACGAGAAAACAGCTCATAGCTCACATCGCTTCTACGAATGGAGGAACTCATGGACAACTACATGCAGCCAGAATTTGTACACCTGCCAATACATGTCCTTCATATGGAAGTGTATTTCGTGATCGTACTACTAGCACAACAGTCTACAAAAAAAAGCCTTATCACGCAGTATTGCCCATACAGCCGTGGACGATGTGAGACAGAGATTCTCGAGTTCAACAAACGAAAATGCAACATATGTGACGAGGAGATCGGATCCGTAAACGCTTTTCTCGAGCACTTGTTCACGCACATGGTACCACACTTGAAGTCCACATTTCACGTTCGTCTCGATGGAGGCCGCAGGGTCCGTCTCGGGACTGGTGCGACCACGCGCCAAGAGCTTATTGTAAGAATCAGGACCTGCTCAGAAGATCGCCAAGACGGGGGAGGAGGGGGAGGACCACGAGGACGACGACTCGATGACGGGAGAGCCCACCAAGAACGCCACGAGAGACGCTCTGCTGGTCCAGCTGGAGGCCAGGGTCAGGAGCCTCGAGCACGCCGCCTTCAGCACCGCGCTCATAGCGCGGAAACCCCCAGCCATCGAGGCGATCGACAACTCGGTCCAGGACGACCTCAAGCAGCGCAAGAGCGAGGAGAACAAGGACGAAGACCTCGCAGACCCCGCGTCCCAGGCCCTCTTCACCACTCTGGCCGTTGCCACCAGCTCCAAAATCGAGGATACTTCGCCGGTGATGCAAGCGGTCTCAGCTTGAAGGATGAAAAAACGACCCTACCCTGGGTTACAAGTGCGTGGTCTGTAAGCCTCCTGGGAATCCCTAAAGTCTAGAGCCGCCAGGACGCGGCACATCACGCAGGGTTTACCCTGTCAGCCCACAGGAGTTTCAGCGCACAGCGCCTCGTAAACCAGGGCAGGGGCGTTTTTTCTGCCTTTGATCAGCGGGCTGCAGAAGGCTCGCGCTCATGAGGAAGAGGTCGTCCCCTCTGGAG